GGGTGGGGCTCCGAGGCCCCCTGCGGAAGCTTGTGCTGAAGAGTCTGGTGCCACTGCTGTTGCGCCTGCATGACCCTAGCCTGGATGCTGCTGAGGTCAGCCGCCCCCCAAGACTGTCCCACTGCTGCTGTCCCCATCCAACCCCACCCGTCCCCACCCCACTACCTCTCCGAAGATGGCAGGTCATGGATTTCCCCAAGGACCTCAGGTGCAAGCCTCATGGCTCCCAGTTTCCTGGGCTTACTGCCCTGGACCTCTCCAACCCTCATGCTGGCCACACCCAAGTCACCTCTGCGACTTTTTGGACCCCTAATCCTCCCCCCTTTCCCTGTCCCAGAGCTCAGAGTGGACCCTGGCCCGTTGTGACCATGCCCTGCGCTGGGGCCTGCTGGAGGAGGTGGTGACTGTGGCCCACTACGACAGCCCAGAGGCCTTAAGTCGCATCTGCCACTGCCTGGTCAGTAGGGGGAGGACAATGACAGTGATGGGGTATGGCCAACTTCCCATTTGGTCCAGTATACACTGGAGCCACTCTCCCAAAACTGAATCTCCCCACCCTCCCAGTCAAGGTGGTGGGAGGTCTAAGACCTCAGGCCCTGACCCCTTGCCCTGGGCACTCCCCAGGGTACTCCAGCCCCTGGGGTCGCCTCTGCCACTTCTCTTCACACAGGATTGGCTCTCCTCTCCTACCATGAGTCCTTATGTCCCCAGGTTCAGTGGTACCCGAGCCATGTGCCCAGTTTCTTGAGCCAGACCCAGAGCTATCTGAGGAACCCACAGGACCCCGTGCGCCGGGCAGCCGTGGTGCTCATAGGTGAAGCAGTCCAGCTGTCAAATTGTCCCTTGCATGCAGAGTTCTGGGAGCTGGGCCATCCCCTGCCTGCTGGGGGGTGAAGCCTGCACTCACAGGTTTGCTTTCACCCAGGCTTCCTTGTCCATCACACCAACCCCAGCCGCTTCGACCAGGATCTGCTGGACTCCCTGTTCCAGGGTGAGGCCCAATTGTGCGATCCTGGAGAGGTGGTGGGTGCTTGGACAGAGTGGGTGGGAATGCATGCACCTGGAGTCCTGGGGCCCTTGGCGTTTCTGAGAGCCCTCCCAACTTGCCTGAGCCACCCTGTCCCTGCAGACCTAGGGCAGCTGCAGAGCGACCCTGAGCCTGCCGTCGTTGCCGCTGCGCAAGTATCCTCCCAGCAGGTGGCACTGCTGGCCCATGCGCTGGGCTGTCAACAGGGCCTGAGCTTTCCCCACCTCCGCCTGCGCCTCACCCTCCCCATCAGGCCTCCACCAGTCTACCCAGACAACCCCTTCCAGCGCCGAAGCCTCGCAGGCCGGTGGGGCTGCTGTGGCGCACAGGGCTGAGCCTGACCCTGTGCCTGTCCTGGGGGGCGGGGGGGGGCTTGACCAAGTCTTGTTAGGGCTGGGCATCTGAATCCCTCAGCCCACCGCTCTGTGGACAGCCCTGACATGCTCCAGCCTGGGCCTGGTGCTAGCTGCTCGTGTTCCACCCCCACCCCACTCCCAGCCGCTGCAAGGCCTGCTGCACACAGACTCCTCTGTAGGAGCTCACCTCCGTAATGTCTAAGTTCCTTAGAGGAACATCAGCGCTTCTGTCTGAGCACCATTCACCCTCAGCCCCTTGTCTCTTGCACCTGCGGGCCTACCTGTCCCTCCAAGGGCCTGTTGCTCTCCCAGCTCCTGGAGTTGGCCGGCTGGGGCTTGAACACACCTGGCCTCCCAAGCTGGCTTCTGGTGGAGGACACTGGGAAGCTGGCACAGCCCTGTGAGCTGCTGCTGCGAGGGTTTGCAGCTTCCTGGGTCTCACCCCACCTGGCCTCCATTCCCTGCCTGTTGGCCCTGCTGGCGACCCAGCAGCCCTGCATCCCCCATCTTGTGCTCCACTCCTTGCCAGTCCATGCCCTATCCCTTGTCCTAGCCTGAGGTTCTGAGCTTCCTGGTCTGTCATCCTGTCCACATCTGCTGCCCCTCAGCCTGGCACCGTTTCCTGCACACTTTCCCACTGCTGGTCACCATATCAGACCCTACCTGAGCTTTCTCTAGAAGGCGTCGTTGGCCTCTCCACTGGATACCACAGGCCTGGGATTATACCTGTGGGTTCAAGTGTGGGGTGCTGGCATCTGTACCCCCACCAGACTGAGCCTGCATGCTGGCACCCCAGTGCCCTGCACGGAGTTGAATTGAGGAAGGCGTGACTGTATGTACAGGAAAGAAGCCCCTCTGGAGGCCTCCCAAGCTGTGACTAAGCCCCGCTGGGCTCTGGACTGGACAGGTTCCTCCATCCAGAATGCCCCCCTTGAAATGTCCTCCCACCCTTCAAGTCCCCTTCTCCTCCAAGCTGCTGCCTCAGAGAGGCCTCGACATGCACAGCCTTGTGGAAGGCTGGGGGCAGTCCCTCCAGCTAGGGACCCCTCAGGGGAAGGCCTGGGATCTGGCCTGCTCCCAGTGGAAAGCATCTGAAGTAAACACACATGGATCAAAGGGATCCACATCTGTCTAAGGCCTGGATCTGGGCTGAGGATGTGATTTTGATGCTCTGGGCCTTGTCCAAGATCGGCTCAGGCTGGGAATATAGATAAGGCAGTGTGTGGCAGGAGTAAGGGTCGCCAGGGCAAGGTTAGAGTTTATGCTGAGACAAAATGGAGAAGCTGTGTCTCGGTCCAACACCCACCAAAGTGACCAGGTTGGAGCTCAGTCAGGAAGGGGTCAAGGTCTCTTGTAGGTAGCCCTAGAGCACTGTCTGTGTGGTGCCAGGATTATGGTTTGGTGTATTAGTTCAGATTCCACAAAGCAGATGCCAGATGAGATTAAACTACATGAACATCAGACCCCCATGAAGGGGAAGGGAAGGAGGTGGCGGGTACATTCTGGATGTCTGTCCTAGCCGCCAGTCACCTGTCAGGGAGCTACAGCTCCCAGGATGCTTCCCCCCCACCCCACCCCGGCCCAGTGCAAGGCTGGGTTTTCATCCTGCAGTAGGTCTGCAAGGAGCCCCCAGATTCAGGCTTGGCTTGGGGCTGGGCTCAGCAGGAGCCTCGTGGACCCCCTCAATGGAAGCCTGCCTCCTTGCCGCCCAGAAGCCAGACCCAGGGCGAGTGTTCTTGCCCACCAAATACATGCTTGTCCCCACTGCAGAGCACAGCTGGACAGGCCCGCAGCAAACCCCACAGCGATGCCCGTGGGAAAGGAGAGCCCGCCTCTGGTCAGGGCTCAGGCAAGCAGCACCCTGCCTCTTCTCACCCCGCCTCTGTGGGGCCTGGGCTTCCTATGCCAGGAGCCCACACCCCACTCTGTAGCAGGCTGTGCTTGCACAACACAGGTGCCTGCTCACCGTCATGTGTCTGCCCCTCCAATGCTCCAGTCCCCATCCAGTAACTGGCAGCCAGCTGGATGCCCTACCTTCCAGGTTGAGGTTTATGAAGGCCAGACTGTTGCTGGGCCCTGGGAGTGTGACCCCTCTTGGGGACTTCTCTGCTGGGGTTCCTGGGAGACCCCAGGTGAGCATTTCCTGTTTGCGAGTGTCCAGGCTGACCAGGTCCATCTGGTTGCCAGCCACAGCTGTGGCATCTGGTGGGATGCGGATCCGAGCATACTTTTCCACGGACTGCCTTCCTGCTTTGATCCTGATACTGAAATAATCTCAAGTCACTAGGGACCTCAGGCCATTGGTGGGCCTACAACCCAAGGGCCAACAGTTGGACCCTCCAGATGGGGCTTGGGTGGGGCTGACAAGGACCTGCCTTTTCCGCTGACCTTCAGGGCAGTATCTCAGGGCTCCAGAAATATCGCTTCTGTACCTGCTTATTTAATGCTTTCTGAGGCCTGGGCTATTCCTGTCCCACACACCTGGCTTTTGCCTTTCAAGCCACCCTAACAAGGGTTCCCAGAGGAGGACCAGGGGCTCTGGAGAGACAGATAGTCCCGAGGCCTGGAGGCTCTTCACTGTGTGGGGGTCGATTTCTAGCAGGTTCCTGTCACTGGGTCTGGAGTGTTTGGGGAGTGCTGTCTTTTGTTTTAATGTTAATGTCACTGTTGGGCTTGGATCCTGGGTTTCTGTGGGAGTTAATGTCCCAGCTGAAGCTACTGGTCCTCCTCTTTAGCAAGTCCTGAAGCTGTGTGTCTGTGGACTGCCATGACCTCTGAGTGGCTCCTCCTCCACCAAGGGGAGAAAGGTAGACTGTGCCCCCTGCCCTGCGGAACAGCAAACTGCTCCTGGCTGTTCAAGCTCCCAGAGATGAGTAAACTCCCTGCTGATCAGTTACCATTTGTCCCCACACATGGGCCACTTCCCCCCTGGCAGGGTCCCTGCAGGGCTCTGGGTCCAGTGACCTCTGAGCAGATGTACTTGGATGAGGTGCAGACCAAGGTCAGTTGCTTTGCTTTGGTCACTGCTTCTCTGGGAACCTCTAGTCGGCTCCAGGAGTATAGGGTCTGTGTGCTGGTCAGCCACACATGCTCTAGCCCCCTTTGCTAGATGGATGGGCCCCCTACCTCAAGGTCCCTGAGGCAGATGGAGACCTGTCCTGGTGGAACTGTACCCCCACCCTCGGTCTTTCACAGACTAGCACACTGGGGAGGGTCCAGGGGTCCAGCCATGTGACTGGTCACTCTGGAGGGACCAGGTCCAAGCACAGGGCAGGCTCTCCTTAGCCCCATGGTGTGACAGGAATAAAACCATAGGGGAGACTCCTGCTCTTGGTCCCCATATCCTTCCCTATCCTGTGTGGGCAAGTCCCTACCCCTGCCCCCTATTCCAGATCTAGGGCCCCTCAAAAACTCAATGACCCATCTTCCCTTTGTGCATCATATTTATTGACTTTCCCCAACTCCCCATGGTGAACTGCCCGCTGGGCTATGTTGGGCTCTCCTCCTGCCAGGACTGGCAACTGGGCGGGCCACGAGCTCTCCCTGCCTGGAGAGCTGCCCAGGCATGCAGGCCGGCAGGCTAGCAGAGCTGGCTCAGCTTTAACAGCAGGGCCAGGCTGGCATAGAGTGCACATGTGCGGCCCTGGGCCTCTGGCTTCCAGCACACCTGGGGGGTGCCCACCTGTAGCTCTAGGCCGCATGCCTCTAGCAGGATCCAGGTGGGCACCTCTGAGCTCCAGCTGTTCCCCAGGAGCTCAGGTGGCAGGGACAGGGCCCTGTGCTCCTGCCATGGGGTGCTCTGCTCCAAAAGGCTCTCCACCTGCCAGGACAGGGTGGGAGATTGTCATTGGAGGCCCCCAGGCATCCAGCCTTTGCCCCCTTACCACCCCTTCCCAGATGTACCCAGCCCACAGCCACAGCTCCTTCCCCCAGGATCTGGGCCCTCTCACCAACTTGAAGGGCTCTGACAGGGCCAAGGCCTCCAGTGCTTCGGCCAGCAGCATGTGCTGGGTTTCACTCAGTGCTGGGGAAAGACCTGGGATAAGAGGGGCTGGAAGGCCCAGCTGAGAAGCCCACATCCCTGCCCCTACTTGCCTCGCCCCCAGAAGCCCCTCACCAGCCAGTGCTCCCAGCAGGTAGGTGATGGGGCCTGCGAGCTCCTCCACTGGCGCTCTGCAGGGGAGCACCAGGCACTCAAGGACCTCTCCCGCCGGGCTGTGCAGAGGCTCCATCCTCCCGCAGCACAGGCCCTGCTCCAGCTGGGGGCACAGGTGGCCAGGTGAGCCTGGCTGGCCTGTGTAGGCCCCACCCACCGCCAAGCCTCCACCCTGAGGGGCTTGCTCACCGACTCCTCCAGGGTTTCCAGGGCCAGCTCATCCCGCAGCACCTGCCCCAGGCCCCTCAGCAGCTGCTCACGCAGCGACTTGGACAAGTTCTCCAGGACCCTGGCCCAGGCCTTCACCTCTGCTTGCAGGCCCTGGAAGTCTTCAGTGGGTGCCAACCTGTCCTCATCAGACCCATCTGTGGGGACAGGGCTGGCATTGTCTTAGTGTCCATAGAGCCCTGGAAGGTGAGACCCCCTCCCCCAGGAGGAAGAAGGGGAGCCCACCAGGTGTCCCAGGGGTGGTCAAGACGGTACTCACCTGACAGGAACTTGAGGCGTTCAATTGAGGACCTTATGGAGAAGCTGGGGCACTGCCACTGTGACTGGCCACCTGCACCACCGGGCCAGAGCAGAGTTTGTCAGCACAGGGTATGGGTCCCTGAGTCAGAGAGCTGAGTCCTGCCCTGGGCCCTCACAGCCCACAGCCCCTCACCACCACCCCAACACTGGTGGCCCAGGGCAGGGGGTGAGGCCTTGCCAGACCTATGTCACCCTTGTATGTGTGCACGTGCACACACTCTGGATATGCCCAGCCCTCAGGAGTATCCTGGCTGCACTGTGCTGTGCAGGAGATGGCCTCAGTGGCCAGGAGCTTGTCCCGTTGCCCAGGGGGGGCTGGGGGTGTCCGCAGACCTCACCTGCCTGTGGCAGCTCAAAGGTCCTCTGCTTCTTGTTTGGGATGAAGAGGATGTCTGGCAGCCAGGTGGGAGGAGAGATGGGGGAGGCAGGTTGGCGGAGGCTCCCGGCCTTCCCTTCACCTATTGGGGCTCCCCTTACAGTTCCCCAAGTGCACTGCAACCTCCCACATGCCAGAACACAGGACCCTCTGCCTGACCCAGGTAGCTGTGCAGCTGGATGCCTGCAGCACCCGCAGCTAGCCTATGGCTCTTCCCAGGCCTCCCTGCATCTTTGCCACAGAGTCTGGGCCCCAGAAGTCACCCCAATCCCAGCTCACCCCAGTCAGAGCCAATAACCAGCTGGGCCACCTGGAATGCGAGGATGCTGCCTGCAGGGATGGTGACCGTCTTCTTCCGACTCAGGTGGCCCTGGCCTTTGCCCTGAGAGGTAGATCTGGGCTCAGAACTGGGCTCTGGGTTGTGGGGCCAGGAATGGGCTGGTGGAGGGATCTTCCTGGCAACAGGCCCTCCTGCCCCTCTCCACCCTGGCACAGCCCATGCCCGCACCTGAAAGGACACAGCTCCGGGCAGTACAAACTGGCCTGAGCCCTCATGCCTGTGGGTCCTGGTGACCTCCACCTCCTTCTGTGTCTGTAGCACCTCAGTCACCACGAACACATCGTCCCCACGACTGCGCAGCTGCTGCAGGATCTTGTGTTCAGGCTGCCGAAGGCGCCTGTGGCAGATGCGGGG